GGTAGTTAAATTTGTATGTCAACTTGGCTGGGCCTGGTTGAGTGGCTGGGCAGAGGGTGGTAGTTGTTCCCCATGATGAGACTGGCAGTCAACTCCATGGTGGGATCTACCACAAGCAGCTGAGTAGCTGCCTTTGGGATGTGGTCTGCTTCCTGTATATAAGGAGAAGCTTTGGGGATAGTCTCTAGCTTATGGCACACTTGGACCCTGCATGTAGCCGCATCGTTGTTCAGCAGCCTTCCATACTCCGCCGACCTTGGGACTTATAATGGACTGAAATTAATGGCCTGTTGTGTGGTTTGGTTACATCGGGACTGTGCCTTTTTACTTGTCAACCTTGCAGCCAGAAGCCATCTGAGTGAAGAAAAGCCTCTAGCTCCAGTGGGCCGGGAGCAGGAGGCAGAGCTGAACCCCAAGGTTGAGGGGCTTTCACCCAGCCCCCAGAGTCTGACACTTTGAATTTGGACTTAAAGCTTCCAAATTATAAGAATAAACTCCTGTTTGTTAAGGCCATCCCATTTGTGGTATATATTCCTGTCAGAGCGGCACTAGGTAACCAGAACACCGTGTTTCGGTTGTTTGCATGTATTAGGTCATGATGGAAATTGCATTTCTCCTTTTTTTAAAACAAACAAACAAACAAAAACCTGAATAACACTGACTCAGAGAACCCCAAACCACTACCTCAACACTCAGGTCTGCTGGTAGTTGGCACTGAACCGCTATAGAAGCAGCATAGGAAATATTAATCATTATTTGGTCATTCAACTCAAAGCCAATATGCCAAGACATCTCTGGGAGCTGGTCCCAACAGAAACTTGGCCTACAGGGACTACTGTTGCTGGGTGCATCTGATGCAGTGGCGACATTAGGGTTGTTGTCACCCAGTGCGGTAACCCATGCTGTCATTCCCGCCACACATATACCTTGGACAGGGCTGGTGGAACCCCTCCCCCATGAAATCCCTTCCGCAAGGGTGGGGCGAACTAGCCCTGCCCACCTGCTCTAGGGCCCAGAGCCCAGGGCCCAGGGCTGCCCCTCCAAGCCCTATCCTATGGCTCCTCTCAACTCCTTCTGTCTTCTATTGGCTAAGGTGGAGACCCTCCTCTCTGTCCACTGGCGGCACCGCAGCCTGCTAGCCTGCACCCTGACTGGTGAGTGAAGGGGGTGGATGATGAGTTACTGCACTGAGTGATGGGTGACACCAACCCTAGTAACAACACTGCCTTGGTGGCCCCTCCACCTGGAGCACTGGGCCGCCACCACTGCAGCTGCCAACCCTGGGATTATTTTGGTGTCACCTTCTCTGACAGTGTCAGGGGTGCAGTCCATACTTCACTCCCTCCAACTCCCACGCCTAGTGACACCACTGCTCTGATGCCCACACTTAGGAGATGGTCAAGTCTTAGCAGCAGCAGCTGTCTCCCCTTTGGGCATAAGCAACAGAAAAACTAACTGTGCCACCTGGTATAGACCCTGTACACTTCACGTCTTCTTAAAGAGAAATTACCCCTTTTCTTGGTGGATAATTTCTCAGATTAGAAGTGATGGGAGGATGCCCATGTTAATTTACTTCAGAAAGATCAGCTGCAGGCCTGCTGGCCAAGCTTTGCCAAGTCTCCATTGTATCTGCTGGTGCTGGACGAAGCTAGGTGGCCCCAGAGCACTGGCCACTCCCCCTTCCTGCCATACATTCTCAAATCCAACTAGACCCAGGCTGTTATTCCCCAAAGCCAGCCAGATCTGGCCTGCTGGCCATGGCTTATGCAAATGCCTCACTACAGGATACCCCTATAGCTCTCCAACTGACCTTAAAATGAGCTCAGGCTCATTGCTGGTGACATCTTTTTCTTGTTACGTTCCTTTATATATATAATATACCCTTCTCCCAAATAACTCCTCTTTCCTTGTTCCTTACTTCCCAAGCAAGTGCCCACTCTAACCTATTCCAGTTCCTAGAGTCTTCTTGTATCTGTCACCTTCTCTCCACTCCCAAGGGCCACTCCCCAATATCTGAACTTCATGGAATCCCCTGGATAATGCAGAGGCTGCTAGCATCTCCCTAGTCGTGGGCTCTGTACTCACAGCCACACCACTCTGCATGAAGATCAGCCCTGTATATGCCATGCTCCTGCTTAAACACCTTCAGTGGCTCCCCTCTGCCCACCAATCAGATATGGCCATCTTCTCATCGTTAGGAATCATCTGTTTCTTCCAAATTGGGCTCCTTCCTAAGAACACACAATGCTTGCCTCTCTCTCTCTCTCTCTCTCACTCTCTCTCTTTCTTTGTAAATGATGTCTTCTCTTCCTTTCCAAGCTCAACCTTGCTTCACAAAGTCCCTCTCAATTCTCTTCTACAACCCCTAACCCAATGGGTCTCTTTCACCTCCAGATACATGCAACCCTCAACACCTAACCAGGGCAATTCTTGTCTTTGGTGTGGTCACTGGGCTGGCACCTGGAATGCAGCATATTTGTCTTATGATATTGTCGCTCTCTACTCCCAGGGTCTGGCATTGGGCCTGCATATGGTAGGTATTGAACATGTGCTGGTTGAACTGAGACCCGTTGTCCTCTTTAGTGGGTAAAGATCTTAGAAGGAGTCAGATAAGTGGGCAAGGGGATGGAGGGGTGAAGGGATAGATGGGCAGTCAGGCGGTCACCTCACAGGCTGGCTGGGGTAATGGGCTTTGCTGTGCTGGCTCAGCATCACTTGGGACTGGTCCTGCAAGGCCTCCACATGCTCAGGATCTTTCAGGCCTCTCGTTTCTGGAGGGAAGCAGCACCAGTGAGGTCTTCTCCCATGTCTGTCCCAGCCTGCCCTGCCCCCTTCACAGTCAGCACAGGCCCCCAGGAGCAATGAGCCCAAGCCTGCCCCCCCCCCCAGGGAAGACACCTGAACACTTCTGGGTCTCTGTGGGGTGGAGGAGGGAGAGAAAGAAGAGGAGAAAAGACACCAGCATTCCCATCCTTCCTCCCCAGCCATTTCTCTGAAGACTCAGACGAAAACTCAGCTACCTGGTTTGAAGAGGACCAGGGCCTTCATGCAGGCAAACTCTGTGGGGTCCACCACCAGTGCCCGGAACCGTGAGATGGTTTCCTGAAGGATGTGCATCTCCATGCTAGCCAGTTTGAGCTGGCCCTGAGAGCTGCTGGCAGGAGGGGCCTCAGGTGGGGCGAGTAGAGGGCAGCTGTCCAGAGGCAGGGACCACTGTATGGCTCCGAGGAGGAAGAGTTCACTCCACGCCTCCTCCAGCAGGATCACCTGTGCTCAAAGGGCGTGAACTTAGAGAGATGAGCTTCTCCAGCTCAGCCTGGAACCTCTCCACCTTCTGGGATGCCCAGGGAACAGAAGTGCTCATTCTGGGCACCCAGAACTTTCTCTTTACCTCTGCCTATAAGTACACCCTGCCCTGGACCTCCAATCAGCCACGGCTCAGGACTCTGGGATTTGGTATCATCTGCCCAGTTGCCTGGCTCTGAGACACTCTGGTTTCCATCTAGAGCTGCACCTGGAACATTTAGGAAAGTGTAGTGCGATGCCTTGGAAGAAAGCCCTGGCAAACTGCTTCTACAAAGACTACAGCCAAGAAAACCCTATGGAACAGTTCTACTCTGTAGCACATGGGGTTGTTATGAGTCGGGGGCTGACTCAATAGCACCTTGCAACAACAACAACAAAGTGTGGTGCAAATGGTTAGTAGCATGCTTGGCTGCTGACCGAAAGGTTGGAGGTCCACCCAGAGGTGCCTCAGAAGAAAGGCCTGACAATCTACTTCAGAAAAATCAGCCCCTGAAAACTCTGTGGAGGGCAGTTCTGCTCTGACTCATTGGGGTCACCATGAGTCTGAGTTGATTTGCTGGCAATTGGAAAGAGCCATGGAGGTTGGGAAGCCTCAGGCACATTCCCCCTTGAGCATCCTAACTTAAGTATCTAAGAGATTCAGCCTGACTCTTCTGAGATGCTCCATTCATACATACAGACTCTGGCTAAGAGCCCAGATCCTCTGTTCTCCCATCAGAGAGGTATTCAAGAGGCAAAGAGGGTGGACTGAAACTCAAGCTCTGGAGTCAGAGGGCTTGTGTTCCAAGGGAGCCCAAAGCCTACCACTGGGGTCACATCCAGAACCCTGTGGGAGTTGAGGGTTTGTGTAGGAGGGAGAAGACCCAGAGGGCCATAGGCACTGTCTTCATGTCTCTGGTCCAAAGGTCCCTGGATGGTGCAGATGGTCTGTACTAGGCTAGTAACTCAAAGGTTGCCTGCTGGAACCCACCCAGCAGCACAGCAGAAGTTGCAGACCTGGCAAGTAGCTTCTATAAAGATTACAGCCAACCCAACTCCAGAGCCTATGGAGTCTCTCCAAATGAATACACAAACAAATGCCTCATCGAATCTCTGGTCCCTATGTATCCCAACCATCATTGCTACATCAGAGATGAAGGTACCCCCAACTGTCACCTCCCTGAGACATACCCCTGACCATCACTGACTTAGGGACATGTACATCCCCAACCATCACCATCTCCAAGCTGTGTGCATCTCCAGTCATCATCTTCACAGGGATGCACATGCCCCATCTGGCAAACCCATGTGGGCCCTGGGCCCTAGCAGGCAGGCTGCAGCAGTGTGTACCTGGTCGCGGAAGGGCAGGTTGGAGAACACAGGCAGGTTCTTGGCCCACTTGACAGCCATGAAGAGCAAGCGGGCTGACGTCTCATGGATGCTGTCCAGGCTGCAGGGCAGGGAGGAGTATGGGGACAACGGAAGCTCAGGCTCATTGCTGGTGACATCAATATGCTCGTCGGCTGTTGGAGGAGGAGGAGGTGTGATGTCAACCCCTGCTCTGTGGAGGTGACAGGGAGGATGAGGGATCTGAGTGGGGATAGCAAGGGTGGGTGTGAGTGCCACCCCCCAGCCTGGGGAACAGAGGTACAGAATCTTACCATCCTCAGGCTCCAGCTTAGCACAAGTTTCTGCAGTTATGAGGCTGGCCATGAAGTGGTGGTGCCCTGGTGGTGTGAAGGCCCCAGGCCCCAGGGCTCTGGCTGCAGACACAGGCGTGGGGCCCCGTGGGCTGGGCCCTGCCGGAGGTGGAGGGACCACCAGGGCCTCCGCCCGGGGCTCAGTGTCTGGCTCCAAGCGAACATGGGCTGTGCCCCGAGGCTGGCGCTCATTCTGAACGGCTGGGGAGGCAGAAAGGGTTAGCATACCCTACCATTCACTCTCCCCATCAGATTGGGCAGGCCTGTCCGGGTGGCTCCCCGGCTCACCATCCTGGTTCATGCCTGCCTGCAAGCATTTCTTCAGCCGGCAGGCCTGACACTGGTTCCGGTGGGCCTTGTCGACCTGGCACATCCCTGCACCCACCTGGCACCTACAGAAGAAGGGGAGTCTGGCCTCAGGGGGTCAGTGCTCCACTGAGGCCCTGGACCACAAGTCGGAGAACTTTTTGCCCTAGCCCCTTCTTCCTGAACGCCTCCATCACTTGCAGGGGCCCTCAGGGGAGGAAGCCCAGTGGGTCTCCCCCAGGATGGGGCCCTCCCCTCTCACCTGTAGATGAGGCCCCTCCTCACACTTCTCTTGAAGAAGCCGCTGCAGCCGTTGCAGGCATAGATGCCATAGTGCTTCCCACTGCTGCTGTCGCCACACACACGGCACTGGAGTGAGGGCCCCCCGCCTGTGGAGGCAGGACAAGATCGGGCTGGCCTAAGCAGGGCCCCCACCTCCCTACCCCTCCCCAGCGACCTCCTTCCACCCTATATCCCTTTCCCTGTCCACAGGTTCCTGTCTACCCGTGTGTCAACACCCCCAGCCTCTCCCACCTGGAAAAGTGTCTCCCTCATCCTCCACCCCCAGATGCTGCCCTTTCTCCCTCCTCCATCTCTGGCCAATTTTCAGCATCATCCTCTGCCTCACTTTCCCACCACTCATCCCTTCTTTCTGCAGGTGACATCATGCTTCACCGTCTCACATTCTTGACAGCATCTCTGGGGATCTCTCTGCTGTCAAGCCTTATAGATGCTTCTCTTTTCCCATTCCTGTCAGCTCAGCTACCCATCCTGGCTCTGAAGACCCCTGTGTGTTTCTAGGCTTCAAGGTCTCCTAGGTGGTCCCCCCATACTTCCCCATAGTCTTTGGTGCTGAGCCTGAGTTGCTCTGGCTCCTTTAATGGTCTCTGCAAAACTCGGGCCCACACCCTGCTACTTAAGTGACCAGACTTTACCTCCTGAATGAGCCATACCTGTCAGATCCTCCTCCAGGGGCCACCTGCCTGGAGACTCCTTCCTGGAGGCAGCCACAGCCGCAGGCGCAGTGGCAGCTACACTGGAGCTCATGGGAGCTGTTCTGGCCTGGTCCTGGACCTGGTCCTGGACCGAGGGCAGCCTCTGCCTTTCTCCCAGTTCACTGAACCAGGCTCAACCTCTGCTCTCCCTCTCTCTCTCTCTCTCTCTCTCTCTCTCCTCTTTCTCTGTGTCCCTATCTCTCCTGTCTCTATTTCTCCTTCTCCCTGGCCCCAGCTAGCTACCTCTGCCTTTGGGTCTACCCCCACTGCCTCTCTCTCTGTTTCTCCTCCCCACCCCCTCTGTCTCCTGTCCTCTCTCTGTCTGAATTCAGGAGCCACCCCAGTTTCCCCAGGCCCCTGGCAGCAGCAGCTCTGGCTGTGGGAGATTTCTCCCAGGGCAGCCGCTGGACACAATTTATGATCCTCTTAATCTTTACTGTCTCCACAAGGGATCAACTGGCCACACCTGCAGCGTCACCAAGGTGCCCCTGAGCCAAGCCAGTTGGTCCTACTGCCCCTATACCAACTCCCAAGCCACCTAGTGCCCCCACATCCCTTGTGCACCTTGGGAGCAGGCCTTCAGACATTCAATCCCAAACCTTGAAGGGAGGTGTGAACACCATTCCCCCCCACTCCAGGACTTTAATCTTTTTGAACTGTTTTGCATGAGCCCAAGGGTCAATGTGTGTGTGTGTGTATGTGTGTGTTGGTGTGGCCCTAGGCATTGAAGTGGAGGGGCTTACCTTGAGTATTTGTCTTGATCCAGCTGTCCACTCTGTGGGTTCTCACCCCAAGTCTTTGATAAAGATTTGAGGGTCCTGGCACCCCAGATACCTGGCACAGAGGTGGGCTCCCATCACACAGGAGAAAGGGTCTGAGGCTGAACTGTGGGGGGTGGCCTGGGTCCCCATTTGGAGGCAGTGGATGTAGTGCTGTCAGGAGAACCATCTTGCAGGACGGGATGGAGCTGAGGGCACAGCTCTCCCGAGCCTGGCCAAGTGCTCTTAAGTGCCTCCTCTTCTTTCCCTGTTTTGGCTTCCCAGTCACAGACAGGCTGCCTTCTCAGCTGTCACCTGTTCTGAGGGGAGGAAAGGGCAGGAGGGTCCTGTGGCTCCATGTACCAAGCCCCAGACCCCAGCAGGGAGAGTGGAGAGAACAGAGACAGTCCCAGGTTCAAATCCCTGCTCCATCCCAGACAACCCGCCATGCGTCCTTGAGCAAGTGATTGAATCCTGTCTGGAATTCACGTTCCCATTTGTAAAAAGATGACAAATGTACCTCTCTCACAAGTTGTTGGGAAAACTAAATGAGGTAATTTATGAAATTATTAATTTTTCAGTGCCTTAGGAAGAGCGTGTAAATGATGGTGTGTTACTATCTTCACATCTCGGGGGTGTTGAGAAATCACAGAGGAGCAGCAGTCCATTGACTGCTATTCCCCACCTCACTCTAGGTCAGCTTTCTCTCCTCTGCCCAGATGGCGCACTCTAGGGGATTCCAGAGGACTCCAGGGGTCAGGTTCAGGGCTTCAGGTAGCTGGGTGCAGGGATCACAAGATATGTAAAGGACAGGGAAACTGTTTCTTTGTTTGTCTCTATCTTCCTGATACTCTACAGTGGGCTTATATGACTTCCAGTACCCAGCTGCTGTCAAATCGATTCTGACTCACGGTGAGCCTGTGTGTGTCAGAGTAGAACTGTGCTCCATAGATTTTTCAATTGCTGGTTTATGGAAGTAGATCACCAGGCCTTTCTTCCAAGGCATCTCTGGGTGAACTTGAACCTCCAAACTTGAACCTCCAACCTCATTAACCATGTAGCACCCAGCAACTCCATATGATATTTAAATGAAATAAAATCCATCTAAATATAAGATACCTTCAGCATCTGTGCTTGTTCTTGTATTATCTTGTTTATTTTGACCAGGTCTAGCACTGAGCAGAGAGCCCCTGTTGGTTTTGGGGGACCAACCCTCCTCAGCAGACCTTAGCCCATCTCTGGGTGAGCCTGGGCTGGAGATTGCCCAGACTTAGAGCCTGTGGGGGAGAGAAGTGGTGGTGGGAAGCTTCTCAAGGGATCGTGGAGTTAAGGACCCTTATGTAGTGGGGTTAACCCTCTCTGTGACAGAGAAGCACTATTGGGGATTTGGAAAGTCAGCTCGAGCAGGTTTGTGGGATAATCCGCTTTCTGGGGCCTCAGAAGATCGAGGCCACCAGGCCGAGGCTTCTCACCTGTCCTTCTCGGCCTCTGTCCTCACCTCTCCTTTCTCCTGCCAGGTAGGCCCTTCAGGACCCTCCAACTGACATGGTCTCCAGCTCTACCTAACCACCAGCTTCCTTGAACTTGATAAACACTTCTGGCCTTCCCAAGCCTGTCTCCCCCTTTCTTCTGCAGCATGGGTCTTTGTTGTCTTCCTTCCAGTCCTGAGATCACCCCAGTAGACCTTTCCAGTGTCTCCTTGGACCACTTCATACCTGACTGCATTTCTGCCCTGAGCTTCCTGCCATAGGACCGTTTGGAATACTTATGCCCCAAATCAATCCTCCAACTTATCTGCACAGAGAGGCTGTGCCCTAGGGCCTCTCACTCCGGAGGCAAGGGTTGAGGAAGAGCACTGACAAAGGGGCGGAGAAGAAGCATCAGACCCACAGAGGGAAAAATCAGGGCAGCAAGGGTTTGTGGGAGCATGGGGTCATGAGAGCATGGGCTTATGGGAGCACAGGAGAGGGAGGTTTCAAGGATGGAGGCACCAATCACGTTAAGTGCCCTTGTGAAGGCATTCATATTACCAGTACCAAGAAAGCTAGGCCACAAATACTTGCAATACAGCAACCCTATAAAGGAGTTATCATTATTACCCACAATTTACAGATGAGGAAACTGAGCCTCAGAGAGATTAAGTGATTTGCTTCAAGTCTCACAGCTACTAAGGTTCCTGGATGTTGCAAATGGTTTGCTCTTGGCAATTGACTGAAAAGTTGGTGATTTGAACATATCCAGCGGTGCTGGAGAGGAAACACCTGTGATCTGCTTCTGTAAAGATTATTGCTAATGCAACTCATGGCAACCCCGTGTGCACAGAGTACAACTGCTCCATAGGGATTTTTGGGGGGCTGTCATCTTTACACCTGGCCTTTCTTCCATGGTACCACCTAGGGACCTCTTCCATAAAGATTATAGCCAAGGAAACCCTATGGAAGTGCAGTTCTACTCTGCAAAACATGGAGTTGCTGTGCGTGGAAATCAACTTGATGGCAACAGGTAATGAATGGTTTGGGCACATGCAGGATTTTCCCTGAAGCCCTCAGGCAAATATTAGGGTACAGAGCACCAGCTCTGCCCCATGGCTGTGGTTCTTCCAGGTAAGGGCTGTAGGGAAGGAGTGGAAGGGCAAAGATTCCTAGATGTAAGGGGCCGAATGGAGAGGCTGAGAAGGAGGGGACTTGGGCCCCTGGTGATCTTTTTCCTCCATATATGCCATCCTGGGCTGCACTATCCTTCCTGCTCTATCTGCCCAATCCCTCCCCATTCTTTAAGCCCTGTTCAGTGCTCACCTCCTCCAGGCTGCCTGCCCTGACTCTTCAGCCCACTCTACAGGCGTCCCCAGGTCTTGATCTTCAAGGTAGGATCTCACTCTAGGTCAACTTTCTTCCCTCAGTCCAGATGGGGGATTCTAGGGGATTCTGGTGGATTCCAGAGGACTCTGGGGGACAGGTTTAGGGCTTCAGTTTAGCTGGGGGCATGGATCACAGGAAACATAAAAGACAGAGAAACTGTTTTTTTACTTGCCTCTATCTTCCTGGTATTCTACAGTGGGTATGCATGACTTCCAATAACCAGCTGCCGTCCAGTTGATTCTGATCATGGCAACTCCATGTGCATTAGAGTAGAACTGTGCTCCACAGGGTTTTCAATGGCTGGTTTATTTGGAAGTAGATCACCAAGTCTTTCTTCCAAGGTGCCTCAGGGTGACTTGGAACCTCTAACCTTTTGGCCAGCAGCTAAACTAGTTAATTATTTGTACCACTCAGAGACTCCATGTAATATTTATTTAGAACTGGGAAAAAAACAAAAACAAAAACAAAAAACCTTCTAATTATAAACCGAACCAAATCAAACATACTGCTGTTGAGTCGGTCCTGACTTATAGCGACCCCTCCTTGGGTTTCACTATGGAAGTAGATTGCCCAGTCTTCCTTCCTTCTGAGGAGTGGCTGATGGGTTTGAACCGCCAGCCTTCTGGTTAGCAGTCAAATCCCTTAGGCACAGAGCTCCTTTTTTTGGTTCTAATTATAAGACATCTGCAATGTCTGGTCTGATTGTTCTCACTTTATCGTGTCTATTGTGATTTTATCCTGTCAGCTCCTCACATCGTTTGTGTCCCAGCCAAGCTCCTCTCTAACCCTGGCCCGTGGTACCTGGATGGGTCTGCCTGGCTGAGGGCTGGGCACTGTGCTGGGGGAGAGGACGACAGAGCTCAGCAGGGGGAGGGGAAGGGGCATCTCTCCCGATCTGTGACCACCAGCTGCTGGGGCAGACGCCAAAGGATTACTCAGCCCAAAGCCTTGAATCTGCTGACGAAGCTGCCAGAGGCCACCTTACCACTAATGCAATTATTCCCCACAGGACAGGTCAGCAGCTTCCTGTGACTCCCTGGAGACCTAGGGAGTGGGGTGGAGGTGGGGAGGTGGACTGCAGGATAGGAAGGAGCTCCCTAGGGGCCCTCTGAGCCTCGGCAGGCAAATCTGCCTGCTGCAGCCTGTTTCACTAGGTCCCAGCCTAAGGACAACTCAGGATTCTGCCCACATGGTGGTAGATGACACAGCTGCTGGTCATGGCTGGGCTGGAGGCCATGATTCCCTCCTGTGGTAGTAGGCTTCTGGTGCACAGGATTGGGCTCTGGGATTTCTTTAAAATGTATTTTATTTTATTTTTTTTTTGCCCCCACGCATGTGTCTTCACTCTCTTTGAGAAAGCATACAAACCAATTGACGATGATTCAGTCTCATGGTACTGTGTGTCAGAGTAGAACTTGCTCATAGGGTTCAAACTGGCT